CTCTTGTGGTTACAGATAATCGGAATTATGAGGACGGCAAAGATATGGATGAGATGTGCTCTTTTATCCTCAACTTACTTCTTATATCTGATTGAGAAGAAGTGAAGACACTAGTCTGTGTTTCTTCTCGTGTGTTGCTCTTCGAGCAGCCTGCAGCTCAGATCTTACACCACAAATACCACCTTCTTAAAACATCACTAACAATAACAACGGCACCAACAACAGCAACGCGGCCAACAACCAACGAACTTTCAATTTAATTATTCATCCGTCCACCTATTCAATAATGTCTGCCCGTTCGACATAAGCATAAACTACGCGCTCACTACGGATGTGTCTCGTGCCACCATTATCTTTAAACATTTTCATTTGGTCCAATTTCCAGATTTTAGAACTGGTTCATTTTTTGATGAGGTCAGATCAATAACTCAGTCAAATGAACGAGCTTTTCTCTTATTCTTTGAAAATTTCAGTTCTTTTTCTGCTAATTGAACTCTTTGAACGGTTTCGTTCGACCAATCGCCTCAGCACAACCTTCATTAACACTCCATTAATCCTCTCTTATTATCATAGCTGAAGTAATCATCTCACTTGATAATTATTGTTTCGTTTCTGTCTGTATCCTATATCTCGTCACCTTAATTTCTGTCGGTACCACGACACGTTTTAATTATTCAAAAGTTAGGTGCTTCTTCATTGCAGTGAATGAGTGCAACGTCGGACGAACTTGGTTCGAAGTTAGCGTCAGCTATAGGTGACTATTCTATCATCCAAGTTTTTAAGCAAATACCTTTTCCATCGATCATCGAGTGTTGCATTATAGCATCCAGTGTAGGTACTATGAATGACACAATTTCAAGAAAGTGATTGGAACCGTTAAGTATGGTTGCTTATGTGAGGTATTGTGGATGTAACTCTGAGAAGTGTGCGGCGGCATTGAACCTCATTTAAAATGCATTCAATAGTTTAATATTCAATAAGAGTTTCACAGTTGTTGCATTTTATGATGAATATGATGATGATGGAAACGATGAACTCGAATGTTCGTTCGTTTAATTGAAATTTTATCGCTCGCATATAGGCCAAGTACCTTTGAGAGATGCTTTTTGCAACAGTGATCGATTATGATCAAATGCATCAACTCTAGTTTTTTAAATGCTTCGAAATCTGGCACAAGGGAATAAATCACTCACGGATTGTAAGTTTCGAATCATTCATGTGAGCTTCCTCTTCACCCCATTAAATTCACTTGAATGGCTTTCAGGATATTCGCGATAGATTGTATCAGAATGAGCACTTTCATGTGCATATGATCGTTTGAAATGAGATGCTTCAATACGCATAAATCTCGTTAGGTTTTCTTTGATATCTAATGGCCGGTTAAAACATCCGTGCGCATGGACTCCATCTGGAATCGTTCCCTGTTGAAAGTTGATTTTAGTATTTTTACTAGCCCGTGGTGTGTGAATTTTCATGGCAGACGTCTGCTTTGCATTTTATTTCTGACGATGCAATACAATGAATTGCCTAGTAATTTCTTTCAAAATATCTCCTCTAATTCTCAGCTACCATCAGATTCCCATATTCACGCAATTATTCCAGTAGATTTATTAAGTCCGAGCCATTGTGGTTTCTCATTTTGCATTTATCGTTTGTGCCAGACATCTTACCCTGATTTCGTTAATCATTAGCACCATCAATTTTGCTGCTCAACTTTTCGATCAGCGTTTTCGCAAGTGACCCTCTTACGATCTGATGATTCGTATGAATTCTCTTTGGGAAATGCATCGTCAGAAAAGATATCTGTTCGTAGTTTCCGCAGCTCCTAAACGCCTAATTAGCTGAACGAGTAATGACGAATGCGTTTCGCGATTATGTCAGGCGTTGTTAAATGAATAATGATAAACTCAATAATGAACGATTATAACTCAATAATGAAAGGAAACAAATCAGTTCAATGAGTCGGATTGACTCAGTGTTCATTCAAACGTAAAATGCCACCGACCCACGTCCCGTTTCACTTGCGATTACATCATTTTAATGTGATAAATAAAAGTGACATTCGCAAACGTTGCAACGATTAAATGACGTTACCTAAACGCATTTTTGAATTACATCGTTCATGCTGAATGTGCGATAAGCTAAATATTTCGTTTTTTGCTGCCACTCGAGAAGCAGCAGTTCGAATGATGTGTTATTTGATCATTCGAATGTGTCATTTGTTCATGGACTCGTTCATTTATCCATTCGAATGACCATGATAAAATAAATCATAATGGGAAAGCAGTCGGCCGTGATTATGTAGTTCTGCTGGCAATAGGCAATGATGTTTTTGACGGATGGCCGCGGTGCAGCTGCTAATCACCGATCGAAAAAGTAAATCTTCCAAGAAGAAAGGTGACGTATGTCTTCAAAACGTTTCATCTCCAGGTGACATCATACCCATTGTTGATGACCACTTTAGGAGTGTTCGAATTCATATCCGGCAATTTATTTCAATTACATTTCACAATTGAAATCTCAACGAATGCATCATATCCGACAATCCATATCCGACATCTCACTACTCACCAACAAACCCAGAATGCTCTTTTAATGGATAATTCATTTTCATACGGTGAACTGCCTATTGTATAAAATTTTCATGTAACTTATACCCGTCTAATTATAAGTTTCATTCCATAACTCATATCGTTCTGCATACCGCCAGCGAGCTTGTTGTTGGATTCGGACATTTTGCTCTGATTTTTGAACTAATGATATGAGAATAACTCACAATTGAACTTGAAAAATGCAATCTTTATTCATGAATTGCTTCTGGATGAACTCATCCCATGGGCGAATGCGATCGAATGAAAAAGCTGCTTGCTCGACCTCCTTTACTCGCCGGAAAAAAGTCTTCATGAATAAATCTCAAGTCTGTTTAGAGCACATGCAATTAACAAATCGCCATGCGTGCGCCATTTTATTTTCTCGTAATCAGTTGTAGTCATATCATGACTCGAGTCAACAGAGAATTCAAGTGTTTCTAGTTGAATATGTTCTTCGAAAGAAAATAATAACAGTTGCTGAAACAATCGAAACAAATTGGCTCAACCGTTAATAAACGTGATGCATTGTTATTATTTGATGACGTTATTGCGATATTAATCGTCATAGTTCACACTGAAGGGAACGAATTGCTCAGATTGTTTACTGCTGTTCAGAGAGGATTACGTGAATGCTCGAGTGTTATTGGTCATTGCAGAACTTTGTATTGAAGACCTCCATAAACAATTGCACGATAATAAACAAATGTCACACGTCAATCCTTGTGACGAAATCCCATAGCGATCTAAATAAACGTTCCATGAACACTCCGAAACAATATTCGATTTTGCTGAGCCACCGATAGCTATAGTGCATGAGAGGTGATTTCAACATCACTCTATCTGTATCATCCATTTCGCAGACCTTATTGATATTCAGAATGCGATAAGACTGCACTCCTCTTTCTGACCTTTCAGTCAATCAGTTCACATTATCTTACCAATGCAATGTCTACAGTGAGTGTCATGCACGAGTTCTCTAAGAATTCGTTTCTCAGCTTTTGCTGTTAAACTTGAAACTGTTAGTTCCTTTAGTTAGCAATTCCGTTCTGTTGGAAGATTTTTTGACTGACGTGAATTTACACAAAAGAAAACTTTCCATTTGACTACGAATCTCTACAGATTTGATCATTGCTTCATCATCGCTATCTAATACCCGAAAAAAATCCTTGACAATCCAGCATACATGGACCTTTCGGTTGCATTTTATCGAGCGAACGAGAAAAGAATATCGTAAAGAGGACGTAAAAGAATCAACGAATGAAATCAAGTTGAGGCGGGGGGAGGAGGGCGTTGAAATTGGCAATAAAAAATACATAAATAATTTCTCAACAAACCGACTGAACGCAATGAAATCAAGTGCTGTCAGTGTTGAATGCTTCCGTATAATAGCGCTAAGCTCAGATTAGTTCAAGTGGATGAATGCGATTTAAATGTGAGTTTATGCTGAATGAATTTCTGATCAATCAAATGGTAGCAGAGGGCGAGTTTTTTTTGCTCAATTGTGACTGCAACTGAGATACGTACCNCGTACCTACTGTGCAGCTAATAAAATATTACATGACATATGAACGTCTCAAAAAATTCCAATATGTTTTTTGTCGCTTCATTTCATCGGTATCATTCAGCAGTCAGCAGCGTGATTTCATTTTGCGCAATCATTACACATCAGCTACACACAGCTAAACCGAACCACGTCTATTTTAATTTCCAATCCAACTGGCAATTCATATCCTTGAACGCCTATCGAGAATCCATCGTCAGATTGAAATGCCAAACCATTCTCTGTTAAATACACTCAGATTCTTGCAAGCACTCAATCTGGTCCTTCAGCAGTCGCTCTCTCCAGACTGCCTCTAAACATCGATAATGTTTCCTCAAATATTTGCTGTTGTTCAGAACTGTTCCATTCAGTTGACATCAAACCGAATTTCCACTCACTGATAAAAGTTTTATTTACTAACACTCACTTTCATTGTCCAACATGATTTCTCGTTTGTTCACTTCTTCTTTCTGAAGATTGCGAAAGCGAAACACTCCACTTTATTTCCGTCTCTTAAGCGCTGATCCGATTTTTCAAGAGTGTAATTTTTGTCTAGAATGTAACAAATTGTTGAATTGAACGGTCGTCCGCTTGATGATTTCATTAATAAATATTATACTCTCATAAGATGTTACCTAATCCAGTGATATCATTGAATATTATCAATCAACTATCAACTTCTTTCTGAGGAGATCTCAGCTTTTCACCATTACTCGATCGATTTATAATTTTTGCGATGTGTATTGATCTGACATTTTCTTGGTCGATCAACTCGGCTCATCACATTCATTCAAGCAACGATTCAATGCAATGAACATTCATCCGAATTGAAGCACTTAACGTCACGACAATTCAATCGGCTTTTCTAGTTTTGTGTTGTTTCAGTGATGTCGGAGGCATCGTGCTCCGGTTTTGAACCACAAACCTATCTGAGAGATCGTTGCAAGAAATGCTTCCGCCTGAGATCGAAGCACGATGAAACGGAGACAAAGCAGCCATCCACTGATCATCCATCAAGTCCTACCTCCTCCATCAGTTCAAATTGTAAGTTTCCAAATCTTTCCCAACATACTGCGAATGTTTTGCAATCCATTCAAAACTCCCTAACAAGATGATACTCCTTCTGAATATCAATGAGTTAGAGTATTCGCTTCATTTGCCACCTAAAACATCCAACATCGGATTTTGTCATCGTTGAACCAAATGTTGCATACGTTTGCATCACCGAAAGGTAATCGATTACGCGTTAAACTATCGAATACACTTTAATCATAGCTGTCTTTTGGCCAATCTTATGCTGTTGCTCAGTGATGCACAACTCTCGTCAAATTAGCACTGATCATACCTTAAGAGCGTGCGCACTCACTGGATTTAGACTCTCGTTTGTTCCGAGTTCCAAACTTTGTCTCATTTTGAACTTTTCCACCTTCGGAACCACCGCCATTGCATTTTCTCTATTTGCTTCCCTTTGCCCGCAAAAAACCAATTTGGTTTCGATGGTATATAGTGGAAAAGAGCAATTGACAATAGCCAAAAATCGTCTCGCTCTTGTTTCAATTACCTTGCTGGTTTTTCCAGCTCAAAGCTCTACATTTAATCGCTTTATCTCAATGAAGCGAAGGGAAAGAAACATCAACATTTTTCAACCGAAAATCTTTCATATTCCAAATTCATTGATCCATTTCAATGTTTTCGTTTGTTTTCGCAGCATTCCTGATGTCGTTCAGTTCTGTTCACACAAATGAAACGATTCAAATCCAACTAATTTTCTGCGCAACAACAATCACGATTGACTCTTTCCATACGCTTTCGTCATTTCCTGTGAGCTTTTCAATGCGCGATGGCGTCATCGTCAGCAAAGATGCATTTGAATTAGTCGAATTGAATGCTTCAGCAATGTCGCATGGAATAAGCAAACAGCAAGTGGATTGATTCAATTAATTAGTGCATAATCCAACGCGTTCTTCAGTTGCATCACTGAATTGAGATGTGATGCTGGCTGGTTCACTTGTTGCACTTGACTGTCGATGATGCTTTTGACTCATTCAGTTCCATTATCACGCTCATCGGGTGCTTTATCCTCGATGAGCTAGTTACTCGGGATGTTTCCTGAATAACGGATCACAGCTGATCAAAGAAGCTGTCACCGTATCGGTTCATAGTGTTCGCTAAGAGTTGTTCTGCTTCGAGCAGTTCAGTAGCTGCGGTATTTGATGTGTGCAGGCAAAAATCATGTTTCACTGATAAGTTATGATTAATGGTGATATTCGATCAACGTGAAATATTTTCAGCGGCCAGAGATCGTAATCGAGAGAAACGAAGATCATGGCGTGACAAAATGTCGACAGGACAAGATAACGGCGGTCCAGAACACGTTGCCGAAGGTTGTGATGATAAACAAAAAACTTGTCGTGAATTTGTTTCGTTGAATAGAATCGTTTCGCTGCGCTCATTCCATTCATGTTTCATTTTTCTGCTGTGTGAATCTGAATTTGAGAGCGTACAAATTCGAAATTTTCAAAGCAAAAAAACGTTGTTCAGTCGTTAAACGAATACTTCATTATGATCGGAACTGAGAGCAGGATATTCCAGTCTTACGAGCACTGCTTTAATTCAACTTGAATCCCCCTCACAATCAGTGCCGAAAAAAAGTGCTGATCAAAATGAGCATTCGCTGAGTATATATCATCCTTAACAATTCTTTTTCACAATTCTGAATGTATTCATTATATCCTTGCAGTAGCACGAACAATTTCTATTTTATTGTTGTGCAACGATTCAGCAAATGAAATATGAATTGGGTTGTTGAACAAGACAAAGTGATTTATTGATTGTGAATGCTGCAGCTAGCAATGACGACGATACCACGTCGTGTACATCCTACAAATCCGCAAATTCGAAGGGTCTTTCGAGTGCAAAATCATTGGAGAGTATCACGTCGAATCAGGATTCACGTAGCATGATCACAGCATTATCGGAAAGTATTGAAGATGACGAACGAGCGATCACTCCCACTGAACCTGATTTGGTGAGAAATCTACAGTCGTTTTCCAATTTCCGTCGTTTTCACATAAATTTCTCAACATACAAAAAAAANAAAAAAAACGACTGACAGTGAGTGGTAAAATATCGATGTTATGTGGTTTATGCGAAATTTATTGGTTGCTCATTTAATTGTCATCGTCTTCATGATGAAAATTTATTTCTATTGCTTGAGAAAAAAACTTGTTATTTCTCTTTACATGAGTGCGTTCCAAGTATATACTTGTTTGTTCTGCTATAAGTTCATTTGAATTAAGTGATTATCAGTCGTCGTCGTCATCAAAGAAATTGTTTTGAAACTTTTTTTTGAAACGGAAAAACTATTTGCGTGCGATTTCATCGAACGCATTTTGCAGACGGATGCGTCACTGATGAAGGAAGAAATCGCACATTTGAAAGAAGAAGTTTCAAAGTTGAAGCAGGAAAAGGAAAATTGGAATGCGAGAAGGTGATTGATTCTCCATTCACAATTTGTTTCACCCCTAAACACTAGTTCCACGCAAACAGATCAACGACAACCAAATTGTTGTTGTTTGTCAATGCGCAACTTCATAAAACATCAAAAGAATGATGCAAATGTTAAGTGTCCGAGTGAGTGCAAGTAAACAATTCGTTTTTACTTCGGTATCAGTATGATAATGTGACGTGCTTGAGGATTTCAACACAGTTTCAAAACAATTTCTTTATCTCATGGTGCATTTGCCTGATCAATATGATCTTATAGACTTTTTTTTTAAATAGTGAAACCCCTAAGAAATGCATCTTATCAGTGTTCTAATAGCATGCTTTCGAAGGAAAAAATTGGACAATGACGGTGAGGAAAGTTTAATAGAGCTATTAGAAGAAAGGCTTTCGGAAGCTGAAAATTGCATTCAGGATTATCGTGATGAGAACACCGTTCTGAAGTGTGAACTTCATGCAGTTCAGGTAATCGATTGCATTCTTCAGTGAATCCATTAAATGCAGAAATAATCATTGAAACATTCGAACAATAAAATTTGCTTCACAACGATCGTGTGAAAGTAAGAATGTCAGTAATTAATGCCTTGCCCCAAGTGATCTATTGTTTCGATGAGAAATCGCCTAGCATCCTTTTAGAGTTGCATTTAAAAGTATTGCACACTAACAATGAGCTAAACATTCATGAAGATTAAACTCGCTCATGATGAATTCTTAAAATACAGTGGTAAAACAAGTAAGTCATTGATTTCAGGACGGCTCTGAAGTGAGTAGAGTAACGGAAAAATTGAAAGCTGCCGAGTCATTGTGCGAAGAATTAATGGAAGAAAATGAAGCTCTGAAAGCAGATGTCAAGGATCTTCAACAAGAAATCGAGGAAATGCAGGTGATTCTATAGTGATCCTCAGGCCAGGCTGTACATTTTTAAAGATGTTCATTCATGTTTCCCCTTCGCATATCGACAGTATCCATGCACTCAATGAATTGTTATTATCACTCATACTTATCGCAACTCACGTACCTGATCACTGTTCGATTCAGGATCAATATCGAGAAGAAGAAATTGAAGAGTTTCGGGAACTGCAACGAGAACTGGAACAGAACGCCAAAAACTGCCGTATTCTACAGTTCAAATTACGAAAATCTGAACGCATACGCGATCAGCTCGAAACCGAAAAGCAGCACCTTGAAGCGAAAGTTAATGTGAGTCACTCGACTGCATTCATCGCTAAAATATTGCTACTTCCTTGTAGCACTCGACCTTCTTCGGCAACACATAAGCAATTAACATTTTCATTTATTTGATCACCAATTACATTTGATCAACTCATTACGACTTTACGCCTCATCGTTATCACATTCATCCTTCCTTGATAATTTCATATTGAAATTAGTTCCCATCGAGTTCAAGGCAGTTATTTAAATCGAACAAAACTTAATCTAAACCAACCAGTCACTAGACTTTCGTGAAATTGACAAGTGAACTTCCATTCATCTCGCCTAAAGAGGACGAAACATTTGTTTCGTTTGTCTTGCAGGATCTTTTGCAAGTATCGGCCGGTGAAGAAGATCCCACTGATGGAGGATCGACGAAACCGGCCGATCCGATCCGTGTCAGAGAACTCGAATCTGAGCTGCGCATAGCGAAAGAAGTATCCGTCAGATTACACAATGAACTTGAGGGTGCTGAGGAAAAACGCTACAAACTTGAGGTAAGCGTTACGTTCGAAAGATGTGATCGAAATCAAATCAGTCATTCTAAATTGAGCATATCTAACTTTCACATTTGTCAGTCACTCACTCCAAGTTTTTAATCTTCGTTCAGCAGAGAAAGGGAAATACACGATTCATGTAATAATGAACTTAAAAAGTGGCCACATTTCGAAAGTGTCTATTGTTTATAGTTTAGTATGTTTTCAGCTGAAACTCATTAGCAACAATTTTAAGGATGAAGTGTTCTATTTGAAAGAGAAATGTCGTGAACTTCAAACTCAAACAAAATGGAGAGAGGCGAGAAATAAAGCTGAACAGCAAGCAGTTAGTTTTGAACGCAGTTGCACTTATTAGATGTTTTTATCGTTTCATGATCAATATTTCATATAAATCCACGCATTATCGTTGATGTCGATATGAGTGAAAGAGTGAATAATTTTTTCAAATTCACAACAAAAAGCTCTCTTGTGAAAATATAATCAATCCTTCGTGCAAATATAAAGTTTTTAGACCATGCACACACTACAAATGCAAACTGCTCACGTACGTATGTTGTTGCATTGTACAATTCTCCATATGAACGTTTCGGAAAATACCTTTTTTACAGTTAGTTCCCAGTTGGGAATTCAGTGTGAATAAATGTTGTTTTTGTTTGAACTTTCTGTGCTCACCTTCAGAAACGACTAAGTGCCGAACTCTCATTGTCACTCAATGATGCAAGTCTTGGCAAAGAGATGCGAGATATCCTTGAACGAGAAGCGGATCTCAGGGATCAACTGAAGTTTGCTGAAGAGGATCTGAAGCGAACACAACTAAGGCTACAGGTGGCTATTTGCACCGAGCAAATATTGAAATCAATAAGATGTTTAAATATTGATACTAGTGAAACAAGTAAACCAATGCACTCAAGCTCATAGCCAAGCGTGACAGCATGCTGATCAATACGTCGTGGCAAATGATCAGTATGGTATCACCGTTTGCTGTAGGCTTCATCCCATAGGCTAGAGACGTTCCTGGAGGGAACTACGTGATAGCTGGATGTCGGAAGACATAACGAGTGGAAATTTCATTGAATGAGGGGAATTCGCATGTATGTTGCTGTCAGAATGTATCTTCATTGACCAGCTGCAATTCACAAGCAAATAATCTCTGACTGAAAGTTTCAGATCATTCCGAATATCCCATAAAGCATATGCTCACCTTGATTGCAATAGTTCAATGCAAATGATCTGTTATATGCAATGAAATTACTCGCTAATTTGTTGATCAGTTCAATCTTCTTTTTTTGAATTTTTGATTAAGGATGTTGAGAATGAGAACGAAGAATTGGTGAGGAAATTGACGCGCTATAGCACCAATAAACGACCGCCAATGGTACGCTCTGTCAGGTCAGTGGATTCAGAAGTACGCACATTCATGTTGTTCGTTCGTTTGATGCACTACTCACCCCTTGAGCACAATTTCTGTTTCTTCAAGGAATGCTAAGTGTGTCACTGATGTCCTAAACGCTGATGTCCTATCTCGATTTTCGTTGCAACTTCCATTCACTTCCTAATGTCGTATAGTATTCTGCAAGGTGAATGATTTCAGCGAAGGGCACGCACAGATTCAGTTGGAACTAGCCGAGCACGAAGTAGAGCACCTGTCCACAAAAGTAGATCGCCTCGAAAAAAAGAATGTCCATTTGGCAAAAAAGTAATCTTTCGTGTTCTCTGTTCATTCTTTATCCGAGTATTTGAATGTTTCAAATTTCCCCATTGAATTTTCTAGACGGAATCGACTTTGCAGAATTTTGGAAATGGAGATGGATTCAAAGAAAAACTTCCACGAAGGAGTACAAGATGCTGGTGGAAATAAGGTTACTCATTTTCTAATCACTGAAATTCCCTTGTACACTTGGACCAAAAACTGTCAGCAATTTTTGTGAAGCTACTGCTGAAAGCGTTCAATCTTATTTGGCGATCAATGAGCGAATCATTGAAAAGAGGAGGTTTTTTCAGGCTTTAAGTTCTGATGCTGCACCCGAAATGCAACGTGATACTGGCAAATTGATGGCTACGATCTCAGAGTTGGAACGCAAAAATATGGAACTGACCGTACAATTGAAACGTCAAGCTGAAACGCTCTCATCAGCATCTGATGATGAATCAGGTCAATTTAAATTGAAACCTGTTCCGAAAATTGTTTGAACACTTTGAAGGTTCCATTTGCAGATCAATGAACCAACGTTTTCTGTTTTCAGTGCATACAGAATTAAGGATCGAAAAAGAACGCTCAAAGCTAATCGAGAATGAATTGAATGAGTTGAAAAATCTTTTACTTCTATCGGATGATCAAAAGTTGATCGCTATGACATCCAAGGTACGACAACATTTTATTGGTTTGATTGCATGAAATATCTAACGCCATAAGGTGCATTCCGATGTTTTTGGCAGCTTTCCTCTGAGGGAACTCCCGTTTACGTTCCTCGAACTTGTAGACGACTCATAGTGACGATGGAATTGTTTCAGGTGGATGTGTTGAATAATCAGTTGGCACTTGCGAACGATCGCTATGATAGCATCCATCGTAAGGTCACTAAAGAAGGCACGGATGATGCTGCATACGCGGTAATGATCTATAGATGCTTGTGCAACAAAATTCTATTTTTCTGCTTGCGATCCAATGTCGACGCCTTCATGAAAATCGCATGATTTCATGAATGAAATCACCCAGTTGAAAATCTCGGCAGGAAAATGAGTTTAAACAAAAATAATGCTATTGAACAGCTATGCTTTCGACTGCAATTATGTGATCGTTTTGAACTGATAATATTAGTAGAGAACAGTCATCAGACGTTTACAATTCTCTAATCATTTAGGCGAATCTGCTTTATAGCAAGGAGACGTTTGCAATATTGATTGCATTCCTGACGAATCACTCTATTTCCTCATGAAGTTACACACAGAAGGAAAGGCATTTCAGGAGGCATTAAAAGAGAAATGTGAGCAGTTGGAGAGGGAGTTAAGTGAGTGCAGGACAAAAGCAACGCTTGTTGAAGTTCAAGGCGGAACGGCAACCACAGACGAGGTGAGGAGGCGTAATCGATCGCTTTATACGTTCGATCCGTTCGGATCATTGTTGATCTTGGATATTGGTATTTGACCCAGCTTCATCGTCCACTTGTCACCAACTCTCTTGAACAGAAACCTTCAGTTTCTATGATGTTTTGATTATTTTAGCGTGAACTGAATATGTGAGTCTGGTGATATGACGTTAATGAATAGACTTTACTAAATCTTGCCTGATTCCATATATTCCCTACCATCAGTTTCACTCACGTACCATTCCCTCTCTATCGCTCGTTCGCAAATTATTAGACTAACACGTGAAATTCATTGCTGTAGTGATTCTCATTTCCACTGTTCTTGTGTTCTTAAAGATTGAGCAATGCTGTGAGGTACTGGCTTCGGTCGAAACGCAAACAAATCGAATTTGTAAACAGATCGAAAAAATTGACCATGCACAAAAAGTTAGTTCGCTCTTCTATGTTCAAATTTCCGCATGTTATCCGAATTCAGCATATCTATCACCTTATCACATCTGTTTTCCACAACATTACATATCATTTAATGTGACTGTATTTATTTTACTGTTCCTCAAACGGTGCTAATAGAATTCGAATCATTCTGAATGTTTCATATCTTTCACCTTCTGATTTCAATCTACTACAAGAGTTCAGGATGAACGGCGTCGATCACTGTCCAAAGATAACAGTGTCACAATCATCGCTGAACTTGCGAGTGTTATCAATGAGTTGAACAACGTCCATCAACTGCTTGAAGCACACAAGGTCAAAACAATATCACTGAATCTTTCACTTCCTTCTCATTCTTTTCGCTACATCCATTCATATCTGCCTAAAACAGTATAACTCGATCGACGATCAACAACGATTGTTTGACAAATTCCTTTAGAGTCGAATTTTTAGTTGAATAATCCGAATCTCATTCGTAAATCGCCATTGAAAGATTCACATAAGAAGACTGAAATCGTCGAGTGTGATAAATGCAAAGAGAACGAAGCGTTCATTGAATCGCAGCGCGATGAAATCATCTTCTATAAGAAAAAGAATAAGGTGCGTTTATTCATTTCATTCATTACCGTTGGTTCGGCTATATTGAACTCCCTATGCGTTGCTGGCTCAAACAAGTTATGACTAGGTTTGCTCATTTAAGGATCTCACGAATCAGGTGCTGCAAACCGAGGATCGATGGACAGTTGAGATCGAGAAGCAACGTCAAAGCTTCGAACTAGAGGTTATAACTAAATATTCACTGAGCTATTTGAAGGTGTTCCGAGGTCACCTACAGGTGTTATCGAAAGTGAACATTCTCTTCTAGCGTATAGTTGACAAAAGCGATGAATGCAGCATTGACTGCAGCAGAACTGCGATTGATACGTGTTCATTCTAGATCAAAAATCTCACCACTAAACTGACAAATGCTGAAAAATGTGTGGATGAACAGAAACAGATGATCGAGTCGAAGTCTGTTGGTCTTGCCGAAAAGGCACGCATGTTGGAGGAGCGTGACGAGAAATGTGAACGATTGAAAGTGGAATTGCAAAAACTCAAGAAAGAAATTCAGGTACCACCTGATTGCTCCTTGAAACTAATTATATTCCATCAAGATCAGTTGCTTACCCAACACAGTGGAATATAATACCGCAGACTGTTCAATTCCAAGTTTTCAGACCATATTTCACATCCGATACTTACCATTGACACAGTTCAATGATAGCATATGATACACTGCTATATGATACAAGTAATGTTGTCATTCCTATGGCCAATCAGTCATTCACCTTGAGAGATTCCAGGAAATTGAAGCAGATCATAAATCTGCAAGGGAATACGAAATCAAGTACAAGAAGTTGGAATCGTTATACGATAAAGAACGTGAGAAATTCGCCCAGGAACGTGCGAAGTCAAAAACTGATATGGCTGCATTGAAGAAGAAATCCGATGATGCCACTATCGATTTAGGTACGAGAAAACACTTTGGCTGATTGTAAAATCAGCTTTCCCACATGCTCTGTAGTTCGATTCAACTTCTCGTTTGTTGAGGAGTACAGATTGCGGCCGAATAAGGTGACATCTGAATCGCTGCAGTCATGACTATATAATCATATGTAACATTTACGGAGATCAGTGTTGAATGTTTTCATCAATTGCTTACTTTGATTGTTTCATAGAATGAACGTGGCAATTGATAAATGATTGTTTCAGAAAACCCTTAAGTTTCTGTTTTGCAGAAAAACTCCGAACGGATCACTCAAACAAGGAGAAAGTTTGGAATGACGAGAAAGAAAGGCTTGAAAGCGAAAATTCAAATCTACGAGACAAACTGAAAACTGGAAGCATGCTGAACGCAAGAGATGGTGAGTCTTTTTCAAGTTCAAAAACGAATGCTGTTTGAACTCTCGTAATTTATTACGGTGGAAATTTTTGCAGTGATTCTTTTTATAATTAAGCATTATTCTTCACTGTTATCTCGCCAGCTCGAACGATTGCCATATTTCAGAACCAATTTATGCGACAATACCCGTCAAGGTACCACCAGAATTGAAGAAAAACGATAGTACGAGTTCGAGTGTTGCGGATCTGCGTAGCGAAATCGCTCGCCTTGAGAAAACGGTTAGTCGCACCTGGCCAATGGGATATTACTCCAGTTCCGTTTGAATCTTCTTCATAATAATCTTCGTTTAATGTAATTTGTGCGATAGCTGCTATAAATCCAACGTGGACCGTTTATGATTCAGAACACGGATCAAGCGATTGAATTGGGAAATCTGAAGCTGCAAAATGAGGAACTACAATCAGAGCTGTCGAAATCGCAACAGACCTGGACAAGAGAGAAGGACAATTTACAACATAAAGTTCGAACTGACCAAAAGGTCTTTCTTCTATTGACACTTCTATTCAATTTTTATTTCAGGTCTGATTTGAGCAATAAAATTCAAATCAACTTATTAAATTTTCATTCTTAGCATTTCATTTGAACATTCCGGCTTGAAACGATTTTAGTTAGATGCTGTTTCAGATTCGCCATGTCGAATTTGATGCTCTGCAGCAGAAATTCGAGAGTCGAATGAAAATCATGGAAGAAACAAACAAATCGCTACATTCCCAGGTTCACATTTCATTTGTGTTTAATTAGTTTTATACTTGATCAATGATTGCATCTGTTGCCGTTATCAAATTCTCACTGTTAGATCAAATTAATGATGATTTTGAGGCACTTTCAAAGTTAATTATCCCGATCAGTAATGGTCATCTAGCATCTTTATTGAAGCAAAACAACCGAGCTGAAGTACGGTTTGGTTTGCATCAAAAACTGAACTTCAGCTAGTGCAAGCAAGACGAGAACGAGATTACAATCGTGAGCAGTTGTGCACATTCGAAAGGAAGGTGGCCGAAGAACATCAACGAATGGAGAAAGATACGAAACGACAAACGGACTTATCGCAGAAATCTGTTAATATGGTCAGTTTTATTCGCACTCATCAGCACTTGCTCATGCGATAGCTAATCTCAGATTTCAACGACGAACCTCTCTCCATAGAGGAACCCATTGTGCATTCTAGAAACTGCATCGACCTTTGCATGCTCCATAATAGATGGGAACATTTCTCAAGAAAGCATCTTTTGTTAGAAATAACTTAAAAGAGAGATCACTTTTTACAGGCCAAGCAAATTGTTTTGTTGGAAGCTGAAGTGAAACGTATTAGCACTGAACTGAAACTGACCCGAGATGCGCATGACGCAGATAAGGCACTATGGACTGTTCAACGCTCACACATGACCACCGTTCAGCAGTCTCAACCTCAAGTCAACATTTTCACTAATCAACGACCCGTCACACCTGAAATAAAGCAGTCTTCCACTGAGAACGAGTCACAACCTGAGGTTCGCCAGCTGCATGCCAAATACTCGGTCTGCTGGTTGCTTGTTTTGTCCCATCTTCTTCTCTTTCATCCTTTCTGAGCTCTTCTCCCAATCGAACCTATCCTTCCGAATGCACAGCATCGATTTTCGAGCGATTTTCAAACGTTCCTCTCGAAAATCTGTTGGAAATAATGGTGAGAAAGTCACTTTTCATGTATTCCGTGCATTGGAATGTGCTTTTTTATCAAGCTCAGCGTGTAATTTCGTAATGTTCCTTTATCTGCTGTCCTTTCATTCTGTTGCTTTTGGGCAGAACTACGTATGTAGACGTAGTTTGGTTGTTGGCTTGCTGGAACACTAGCTTTCAGATTGCTTACGTTCATTGCCGCTCACATATTTTAGCTGAATCGCTTTTGCTTGATGCAAAGAAGTTGTAAACGATAATGAATCTTCAGCAATTCACCGAAACTGCGATAAAGGCAGCAGAGAATGTGCAGAAGCAGTATGTGGAATATCAAAAATTCTATACGAAGGAAGTGGGAAGGTTGAACAACCGAATCAAGGAGTTAACCAACGAATCAATCATGCAACAAAACGAATCACGCAGAGAAATTAAAGAGGTTTTCGTTGCCGAAGTTGAGAAAGAGACTTCATCTGATCTTTCCTTATTCCGCCTACGAAAAACATGCTCACATTGAGTTGAATGCCGTTCGAGAAATTGGATGCTCATAGTCAGTTGCGAAAAGTTTGATAATTGTGTTGCAAATAATTTTTTCCTCTTCAGCTGCGTGAACAAATCAAAGTTCTGGAAATAAGTCAACGTAATCTGATCGAAGCTCGAGATATGCAGAGTGGAGTTAAGGAGAACCTAGAAGCTGAGGTTGAGAAACTTCAAGAGACGGTCCATCGATCTGAGGTTCAGCGCTTGACGCGAAAGTACAAACTCTGCTCATTGATAGACCAGGTAGTTTGATCTACATCATCGAAATTTGTTGTTCCCTTTTTTTCCGTATGATGAGCATATTCTCAAACCCACTTGCTCAGTAGAATTCCTTCATATACGCCTCACATCCATTCGTCAGAATCCGATACTTTCAGCTCCAAAAGGTTTCTGAACCGACATACAAGGCGTCCAGACATGAGCCAGACATTCCAGAAATGTTGCGAATCATACTCTCACAAATGAGAACGATCAGGGATGAGGACATCACAACCGCGTTCGTTACATCCTCAATTTCTTATCATCAAAATCAGAAATTATCGCATTAGAGACATTTGGAATCGTTCTAATCGATCAAATGACCACTTATCATGCTCCCTCCCTCTTTCACATGGGAATGTATGACGAAACCTATCAGATCAACTCCCACATATTTGGAACTGAATCGTTCTTATAAATTGACTCAAAAATAGCCAGTGCCTGCTGATTCGTCTCTCTCTAAATCCCTGATCACTTTTATTGCAGCGATAACATCGATGCGTGCACATCTCAGGCATCAACAAGTAACAACATAAACGATCTGAATCGGAATTGCGATATCATGACCAGATCAGCTATTTTCAATACTTACACCTGCAACACTCTTCCTCCTGCTTCGCGGAAGTTTGTTTGATAACTTATTCATCGTTTTTCTCATTTTCTACAATTCTACTCACAAATAAATCAGTGATCTTGGAAATCTGTGCTAGCTTACGCTAAAATTCTCTTCGGTGCGTCACAAGGAAATGAGATTTCCCATAAAATTTTCTCAGAAAAGGAGATTGAATATCTGATCATCAGATTTGTCAAATTTGATTATATGCCACATCTGTCTCGTCAATACTCCATGGCGTTGTTATTATAGATGGAATACGAACAAAGCGATCATAACAACGACCTCATCTGGTATCGAGAACAGTTCAACGTGGGAATTCCGTCGGAACGAGGTGTCGGCTCGTGCTCAATCGCCCGTTAAGAAGATAGCAGCTTATCCGGATCCTCCGCCCAACTTCATGATAAGTAAATCTTCAATCCAAACAGGCATTATTTGTTTATTTTTCACTGATTCAAATTTTCTTCCAATGTCGTAAAATTAAAAATTAACACTGTGCCCTATGCACGATCAATATCTCAAGCCAAAATAACTCTATGTTCTTATATGACTTTTGTACATCATGGAGTATTCGACAATCCACAAATCTTGAATATTCTGAAAATTATGAAGTGAGGAAAAAACGTCAATGAGTCATATTATTGTGATATTGCAGAAGGGATTATTGAGCAGATCAGATGATTTACAATTACCGGTGATTATTCTTTGTAACAGTATGTAGTTGAAAGTAGTATTTCAGAGCAGCACAACTTTTTGTTTTCGAATGCTCGCATAAAATCGGTGTTGTTCAAACGTGATGTGTGATTTCAATTATTGTGAAGGTATTAAGTAGTCACATGAAGTAACCATCCTTCCAGAAATCTTGAACCTGAATGGGACGAAAAATTTTTAGATAAGGAGATGTCAGTGGAATACGATAAGGAGGGTCGTCTGCATTACATCCCGAAAAGTATCTCGCGTTCGTCGTCCTATGATCAGCATTTGGCAGCAGAGGAAGGAGGCGATACCACAGACGACGATGATGGTATGCTGAAGCCACTACATTCAAGAACAAGCAGTACAGGTGATTTGCCACCGCCCGAGACATGCTGAATGATCGGCATCCAGCATTCTCGACGAGCGATAAACGGTTATGGAGTGTTGACACCACTGCTGCTGTGTGGCACCAGAATCTTTTGAATGCATCTTCTGAATTAAAAGTGTGCCGTTGCGAGTTCATTCGCTAATATGGTCACATACCATCGCCGTGAATGACAATCGCTTGCCATGAACACAACTAAATCGCCTGAACGTACCAGTGAAAATTTTTTGGTCGACTAAATTCTCACGTCTGCACGAAAATCAAGCAACTAAACGTCACATGCACTGCACTCAGGGGGAAACGGAAGTAGCCAAGCGATATTTCATCAGTTCTTAAAAAAGCGAGCATCGCAAATTTATTTCCATATTTATTTTTCAATATGCGAACGCAAACCTGACAATGAGCATCTCAAACTTTCATAATCCATTATTAATGTTGGTGGGAAGAATTTTGATCTGTCGATTGTTTCGCCCTCATTTTTAAAGAACATCTCCTTTTAAGCATACGATCATTTGAAGCAGATGCTTTCGTTCTTACCAAATTCTGCATTTCCTGATTTATTCTAATATCACGATATTTTCTTCCTCACAACCTTTCATCAGTCACTTCTTCCTGTTCAAGCGTTTCAATTACACTGAATGCGACTTCTACTCACTTGCACTCATTTCCACATTTTATACTTGTACTATGAGTCAATTCATCCAACTTTTTTTCGCACTTTCAAAGTAAAATTCATTGTTCGAGGAAACTCAACCGTAAAAATTATTTCCATAAGCGTATGCGTACTTTAACTCGCACTAGCAAAGCTAAGAAGTTGCTCTTTTCTCAACTATCGTTTCACTCCTTCATGTGTGCTGTCTCTGCATTGAAGTGCAACTGGAGTGTGATGAAATGTCATTAAGACGATGCACCCATTTGAATAAAGCGAATGCCTGAATGTTCCTGTTGCAGGAACGAATATCCTTTACAAGATTCGTCGCGAAGAGCTGGCTCGTGGAGGACAGCCATCGGTGCGTCTTATGGCGAAAGCATTCGACTCCATAGATGCGACAGTGCCTAACGTTAAACCACAAAACGGCGGAAAACGCTCACTGTTCAGCATTCGTAAATCACGTTCGGTTGAAACGACCGAAACCGGACGTAATATTGGTGCTGCAGCCAAAAATGTATATGATTTCGAAATACGAATCTCTGTACTCATCGTTTGATTACGAGTCTGCCTGCATCGCTCCCGTCTGAAAACATAGATTGTCAACTAAACCTTTAGTCCGTAGCTAGGAGTTTTGTCCACTTTGCTGATTCAGATTCACAACACTTTGCCAATGATCCGTCATGCATCGTCAAACATCCTTTCTTGAACAATAATTGAAAATTTCATTCGTTCAGCTGCTAACTCCAGCCGCTCCATCGCCGATGGCTGTAACTGTTCTCGGACGGAAAACATCACTAAGTGAAATCGAAGAGCTGATGGGTAGCCAATCGCCTTACGGCGCGACGTTGCCACGTTCTGGACGAAATCCTCTCAAGAATATGGGTAAACCTGCGGAAGTTTTCAATTCTTATCCAATTGGTCGTATGCCACAGCAACATTAAATTGAATTGTTACCATATCGCAGTCAGTTGACAGCGAAAGTGATTTAGACATCAACGATGTAATCAATCGCAAATTTGAGGTACCAAATTGGTGGAACGTGTCAGACGTAGTTTGAGTAGATCGAGTACTGGTCGAAATGCGCAAAGTGAGAGCGAAACTGGATCCGCAAAGGGTGGATCACGTCAAACACTCAACGATATCGCCAATGACATATCGCAAGCGAGTAACATCACACAAATTTCATCAACTTCATCAAAAGCATCAAAAGTAATGCACAGATTTACTTTTGATAGCAATGCCAACTAAAGGCAATCGTAGTGTTATTAGCATAAGTGAGAACACTTGGAATACGACTGACTGATGTTCGGATCACTCAAGGAACATTCTAATCCTCTCAGAAACATTCTAATTGATCCCGTCACATGGTAAAATGCGTCAATGAATCTGTTCTTATCATGTATAACTTTGATTTTTTTCAGTTGAAACACGTTCCGATTCCAGTGCCGTCGTCTAATGCAAGTTCGGCTTCAGCAGCTTCCACGCCTGCAGTTACGCCGAAGAGGACGTTGAAAAAGAAAGTTAAGAAAGCGCTCACGACAAGTTTAGCGGATGTCGGTGCGAAGACGTCATCTGCTAGGACAAAAACTTGATTCTGAATCAACAACATTATTAACAATCATTTCAGTGCGTGGCATTTGCTGTCAACAACTGAATGTCCAACGTTTCAACTCTTCATTTCTTGATAATTCATTCTGAAGTGCCATTTTTTGTTTGTTTCTTCGATTGGTCAAGTGAAAGTGCACAATTAATATTAGGTTGCGTGAATTAGAAGTGACACTGAAGAAGAGAGTTTTTGCAATCAGTTTAGATCATTTTCTACAGCTTCCGGCGATTCATTTCCCCTGTTACTCATAACCTAACAGTAAACCTCTCCTATTTCTTGAACGATTTTTGGGTGAGTTTTACTGAAAAGTTGAGTGATATACTTAGTACAGCTGTGAAAATGGCTACTTTAAATGAGAATTTTTCAATCATTCGCCTAAACCGTACTCCAGAGACTGCATAAGGAAACTCGCTCGAAGAGCACTAGCGATTTTCCAAAGAAATGAAAAATAACTGGGTCGTTACCATTGAAGCAAAATTATCTCTGATCACGGTTATTACTCTAGTTTGTTGCTGTTTTTTTTCCAAGTGGCTTCTATTAATGTCAAGCTTGACCTATGTTCAGCTTTTTGCATCCCAGATTATATGCTTATTAAAGGAGACGATCCTCGAACCGTAACTAGAAATTTGACTAGACCTAAAATATTTGTCGATCGATTAACTTAATCATCAGGTGTCTAATGAGAGCAAGGATCTATTAAGTCGATCAATATTTTGCAGTTCGATGCTTTCTCTTTATCATATTTTGTTCATTTGTTCACTGTTATTGTTAATATTACTTTTACAATATTTTATGTGTTTTTCTCAATAATTCAATTTACTTTGCTTGTATAGAATGACGACTATTCCTTCAACACTGAAGAGGGACGAAGATATTCAGTCCATTATTCATTATTCAGACTACAATCAATGATAACAATAAACAGAGCAATAACAGTGATACGATGATAGAAACGCTGTCATAATAATATCACTACTGATAATATCAGTTTCGACAATACCATCAAATAAATAACAACATCAAAAATAATGATCAAAGATAACAACAACAACAACAACAACTCGTTCAATAAGTCCATAAGACTCATCGAGTTGAAATAGTTATAATCTTAAACGTTTATTTCCCCAAGTGGGAATCTGAAGTATATCAATGAATCAATTCCTCAAAGAGATAGGAGATCCAGTTTGTTCTAAAGTTGATCTCAACATATTCTTCATAGATCTCCAACGGAACAGAAAACAAGTCGGAAAGCGTCAAATATTCATTCTCGAAATTATTTTGTGTTTTGTTTTTTCTCAATCTCGTCCTCTTTTTAAACTTATTAATAGTCATGAATTTGAAACTGTGTTATGAAATTTTGCCTTCTAGTAAATATTGTTGCTCATTTTAATGAATCATTTGCCGTTCGTTTTCTTCATTCGTCATCAATTAGTCAGTAATAATTTAAAGTCTCAATTGAAACCCTCTGTTCGTTATTGTTTGTTTTATTGTTTTAAATAAATTTTCTAGGCGTTTTCTCTGATGCCTTTTTTTCAGTGAACCGCTCTGAAGTGCGGATGAACAATTCCACTAGCAGATGTAGCAATTAATCAAGCCTGCCTACCTATTCATGCCACTATATGAAAGTATGAAAACATATAAGCATTTGAGTTGGAACTGGTCCGAATATTTCACTAATTATTACTTACGCCCCTCTGGAGAAACTATAACTTCCCTGTCAAGAAATCGTTAAAATCACTCGCAATCAAAATCGAAGATTTTGCATAAATCACTAACGACGACATATTTGCAATGGTTCAGGTAGAAGAGATAAGAAAATTTGTTGGATATGTTTCGAATTGGTATTTTCTTAGCGATAGACGAACTTCGTTTGAACATTATCAAAAAATATATGCATATGTCTGAATGATTAATGGAAATAACAAATCGAAAACAGATGTGTTGTGTCCAGGTTAGTGGGCAACAACAGCCATAATAACAGCAAATGTTCGTCAGATGCTTCGAAAATGCTACGTTGATTTCGTAAAAGCCAACTTTTTATGCAATAACAATCGCATCCATATTTTCACCCCTCATATCCCATAATATCAGCAGTTGGAAATATTTTCGGATCACAACATTAATCGATCAAATTTTATCTTCTTAATACAACAGATTGTTTCAATTTCGTTTGGATTTTGCTCAATTCGGATCTGCGTAAATGATTTGTTGATGAAACATTGCTTCACTTCCTACGCAATAAATAAATTTCCACGGCACCGACAATAATTCCTTCATGTAGCGAGAGTCTGTGCGATTTCCGAACTGCTTTGCTATAGATCATTCGGAACAAAAATATTCTCTCGTTCAAAACTTTCCCAGACTATCAATCACAAGACGCAATTCTAGAGAAAACGCTTTGAAGTAATGCAATGTGACTGTATCTGCTCAAAGTGCGCGACATATCATGAATATCATGACGAACAACTCCAAATAACAAATCATAATCAGATGTGGGTTAAAATAACGGTATGTACATCAAGAAGGTCATTACAGAAACAAACAACAGAGGACGGGACGGATTCAAAATGATGAGTGCACTATTTCTGGTCTGAATTCCAAACGATTCAATGTAAAGTTATTCGCTCAACACCATTCGTTCATCGAATTGCGATCGCGACGAACATAAATAATTTGATTGTTTTAAAAAGAAACAGCTCGCCCAAGAACTAGATCTTCAACATTTTTAGAGCGATGCTTCTCTCAAAAACAATTATACCAGAATGTGCATTGAAAAAGTGTCGTTTCCATCACAGTCTCCTTGAATATCGTCACATTTAGTACATTCTTAACAAAATGATATCATAGGAAACAATACAATTGAACTCTTAACAATACTGCAAAGTAATAGAAAATGTCAAAAAAAACTTAATTAACGAATTTTCATATGATAACAATAACATAAGTATATATACTCATAACTTGAAACAACTCATTGAAACGATAAAAGACTTCCAAAAGTGGTTTAATGATCATGCCACGTCTCTTCGCTTACTCTGAACGCTCCATTCCCCAAGGTAATATCAATATTGCGTTCGTTGCATATTCTCGGATTACGATCCTTTCCGGTTACGTCCAGTTACCGTGCTCTCAGGATTCTAGTAAATCGTTCATGTTGTACGTTGTGATCACTTCATTTGCGAACGCATGTTAAGCAATATGCACGTAGTGGTCATGTTGTGAATCAAGCACCATTAGAACATCAAAGAGCATTTTCGGAAGGGTGAACGTAATCGAAATGAATCTACTGATTGAAGAATTTTTTCGCATCAAAAGTATTTTCATGGCTCTTTTGTGAGTGGATGTGAGATATTTTTGAATCGATTTGGTTGCGAGCTTGTTAGGCATTAATGAGCATCAATCGATCATTATTCGTTGAGCTGACGTTCGGATGTCGTCGCTTCTTTAGGACATTCGGTATCATAAAGACCAACAAAACACACGATGCTCCCGACAGAAACGACGCTATCGATATCACAATGGCATACATCACACGAACACCCTGAAAGCACATTTACTCATTTCATAACAGTTGTTAGCATTCAAATTCATCGCATTCACAAACTTCAACTCATCACCTCAACGCACTGATTCTAGCACCTTTGATGGTTCCTCATAAAATCACCCGAAACATTTCCGTTCCCAAAGAACCGTTCCAATATCAACATCCCTCAGTATTCGCGGCTCGTTCTGCTGAGTTATTTTTAGCGATGAAAACTAGACGACGCCCAGCAAACAGTCACAATTATACTGCTTGATTCATTGTTATGAATGCTTTGAATCTTCACCGATATAGAAATTCTCATTCAGTCCCTCTCTGGTTTTTATCGCATCTGATCAATAGTCACAATACGGTGATCGTTAAAATGCACCACCACACAAAAAATTCTAATAAACCATTGAAAATGAACTCAATTTCGAGTCAAGAATGATAGTAAAAACGCATCAATTCTGCAGCGCAATTGCCATCGAAACGCCGCCACTTCGAATCGAACGCAGTGATTGATCACGTCCAATTTTGATTCAATATATCATTCTCAACGATCAAATGAATTTTCTACTCACAAATGCAAAAATAGAGTCGCAGCATCCGCAATTTTTTTACTTTGAAGTCTTGCGCAATTATTAGCAGTTGTGCTATTTATAGATATCGAGACGCATAAATAATGTTATCCATTCACGCGAACAGAAGAAAAATTCTACCACCCAACGATAGACTGAATGCAACGTTTTTTCGTCTAACAGAAAATGATCACACGATCGAATTTCAGCTCCGACTCGTTTAAATGATTATCGACGAGGATAAGACTCAAGGCACACTGACTCGATTCGTTTCAGGTAATTTCCGCTATAACTCATCAAAATAATTCAGGGGGAAAAAAAGACCCCGACACCTTAACAGGGTATTCCTTTATCCTGCATTCCCGGTTACATTCCTCATTGACAACACTGTTCTCATTAGCTTGCCTTAGGCGATGATAATCGTTGTGCTTTCCTCAAAAGTTTCGAGTAGGCGATTGTCCTTTCGTATGGGCACACAGATAGGCAATCGTCAGCGATCAAATAAAACATTGGAATGTCAACACTAAATGGACCAAAACTCAAGATTGTTTGACCGTCCGTTATCAAATGTTCATCGTTCTGAAAATTCATCACAATTCTGAAGATGCGACGTTCGATTTCAAGTGATCACTCGTTTCCAATGAGTGCAATTCAACATTTAAACCAACTTTCTACAATCAAGAAACTCCTCGATACTGTATGATATAATGAATGCTTGAAAAGTGCACACAAAATCAGCCTAGCAAAGGTGTTTAGTTGATTCAGATCTGCTTCTAGTCATGAAGTACAGTTAGGAGATACCGGTGAAGAACGTGAATCGCTCAGTTCACAATTAATGAACAACGGATATATGGTGATCGCTTGGAATGGGTCGGGTCGTCCTTCGGGCAGCACACTCCAGCCAACTCTTAACGATACTTCGAATCGCTTCGTCGTTCGTCGTTCATACAAACTGCCGTTATTTCTATCGTGAACTGTTACCGTATGCTGATCATCCTCCAATTCTTCAACATGACATTTTTCTTCTCCAAACTCGTCGAGTTCCGAATAACCACCTCGCAGAAAATATTTCCGACGTCGTCCACCACCGTGCTGAGCGTTACCTTCGATCCAACATTCACTCAGATGCTTTTTTCCTGCAATCATCGCTGACCATTCACTTCACTTAGCAACTGAGATGAGACTGGTCTCAAGTTAGTATGCTCAATTGTTAGTTAGTTGCCAATTGTGAATGTCGATGAGTTTATTCGCAGTAAATGGTGTGAGTGATTAAAAAAATTCATAGCCGTGAAAGATTGATGTTAGACAACCAAATTTCATTTAGAATTCGTCATATATTTAATTTAATTTGATATGGTGAATGATCAACTTACGTCGGTGAAATATGGAAATATTTAAGGTGAAACCGATTTGAAGTGAACCATTTTGTTTTAGCGGATCACCATTCAGTTCATGCACCTCCATGTAGCTAGGCTTAAAACAATAATCGTTAACACAACTACTCTTCAATTTTTCAACAGTGTTATTAGTTTTGTTGATGGAAATTGATCAGAAAATTTATTCTTCAAGGAAACAATGAAATGATGCGCTTCTTCAATAGGTTAATCACCTCATAATCACCACATTTGAACGGGAACAGCACCTCAAACTGGGAACTGTTATCAGTTGCTCGAAACAATACCTGAAATGGATTACCTCTACTTCGTTTCATTCTTCCATTAGCATTTCATTTCGAATATTTTATGGATTTAATCTTTCTCAAATCCATGCGAATTATCACTAACACTCCATTAAATAAAGACGTTTGCATCAGCCAAAAGAGATCCGAATTCATGAACATCACTATTCAGTTCATGCACCTCCATATAGCTAGGCTTAATGGAAACTGGCTTTCGTCATCAGTCAAGTTAGTGCTCAATTCATAGTCGTTTCGTTGAAAATCCCTCGAAATTGCGCAGCAAAATCTTGCGTTTTCGTTTCATTTCAGCATGCTTCCTTCTTCCATTCCACCTCATAAATGAAATCCATAAATCACGACCAGCACCTTGGCATCTCGTGTTATTCTTATTCGAGATTCTTGATCTTTTCTTACGTTCATTCCTCTTACTCTCACAATCTCTTTATTCAAATCCCATCTTCAACACAACAATAAACTCGCTTTTGTTGGCTGATGATGAAAAGTATATGTGCACTAGAAATGTACGACGATGGGATGAATGCAGCATTAATAACAAACAGGCACGAGATGTTAACCGTGATGGGAAAGCTATAAAACTGAATGCGGATTATTGCTTGAACGAAGAAGCTCCATCACTGGAAATCAATCTGATACGTCTGATAAAGGCTTATCCACCAGTTATGATTAGATCAGACCCTATCAGAATTATCACTGATTGCTTTAGAATTATCATTATGACTGTTATTTACGGGATAATGTAGATACTAACGGTAAGCTAGAAATGAATGCATGATACAATAGATCACTGGGAGTTATTGCTATATAAGAGCTTAATTTGTTCAACTGGAGTTCTGCCGCATGAAATTTCTTGTTTCATAATCAATGATCGTCGTATCCTAGTCCATAACAATGGAAACAAGCTGAAAATCGCACAGCTTATCGAAACGTTGTGTGAATGTTACCTGATTATTTTCAGGCATTTCGCAGATTTCCCTTGAAACGTTGAACTCGATTTTGGTCGTATTGCTGGTACTTATCGAGCACAACGTTGACAAATTTGCTCGTCCCGGGTTCAGGGTTAACTCAGCATGCTCCTTAAACCAAAACAACATTACCCTTCCCAACCCTCCGTGCTCTATCGAATCAAATTTCGCAACAAGTTTGCTCGTTCATCATGTGATTCATAGATATGAGATAAATCGCAAATGCTACTTATATCATGTAATAGTTCTTCGGTGTAATATTGCGAAATCCATCGATCGCACAACCAACCCTCTTTCCCAAAAAAAAGATAATCCCTTTCGGATGGATTGCGCAATACCCCAAATTTTATGCCGAATCCATTCAATTTAGCACTACACTTGATGGCTCCTTCGGCTCATGCGTCTTGCAATAAAATTTACAGCCGATCAATCTATCGAGTCGTCTTAATCAGCACCATTTCCCAATTACATCTATCAAAATCTCATTTCTCTTGGTTTTACCGCTGCACACGTCTTCGTCTCTCTGTCTCTCTGAATGCTCTGATTTATGCAAATTGAAACGTATTACGTAATATGTGAGGGGATGCATGTGAATTTGAAGAGTAACAATCACAGCAACTGAATCATACTTCAAAAAACAATAACAATATGTAAATTTCTGAAACGTCTGCAAGAGAAACAGTCAAAATATTTTACGATGCTACCGGAAGTGTATAGTTCACACTTCTGATGACTGTAGGTTTTTGTTTATGATGGCTCAGCGAAGTGAATCATTCGCTAGACTCTGGAATGAGATTGAATTGGCTATTTGATTGTGAATTATAAATTAGTACTGTTAGCCCACTCAGAGCTTCATTTACCTACAAGAGTTAACCGAATAATCGAGTTATACATCATCTTTTTTATCGTTTATCGAATCATCTACATCGTAGATCATTAGGAAGTTTTTTTCCTCTCCATTGAGCAATCGCTATCGATCAACTTGCAGTCGAACTGTGAAAAAAATGACTAATCAGTGGCATGCAATCAATCAACAGTTCAAGAATGTCCTCACCTGAAAGTACTCCTTCAGCACTTCGGTGTCAGGTGCTATACTGAAGAATATGTGCGACTCGTTACATTCCGAATTGACGTACTGTTCCCAAACCTCGAACGAGTTCACTTCACGATCCAGTTGATAGAGCCCCAGCTGGGATTCTCTAAGCGAATTCAATAGTCAACTATTTATTTTTGGTCTCTTTTTGCACGACATTTGTCTTTGCTTTACAATTTCATTCTTGCAGCACTGTGATCTCTTCCGAAATAATTTGCACTACCCATTCATTTCTCAGAGAAGTTTTGCCAGTTCATTTGATTACGTGATCAGAGTTCAGTGTAAACTTTCAAAGAAAGCACCTCTTCGCCTTGACATTTTTTCAGAACACGTCCATTGCTTAAACCCATTAACCCCGTAGACTAATAACGCCACTGCTTTTAGAGATTACGAATTGATTACTCCTTCAGCGTATTGCCACAAATTTCATAAAATATTGAATGAATGCATTTTGTCAGCATTTGATGATTTTTTTGAAATTGTTTTCACATATTCGTAGAACTGAAAGCACATTTTTTGCTGCATATTACGACATTCACAAGTGAGCTCAGCTAGCAGCTAATTCAAAGCTCCGATGGTCTCACAAGTGACGACCGCATATAAATCAAAACAAATCAATTTTCTGTATGCATCATCCACCCACAAAGATTTGTAATTGTCACTCGAAAAAAAAACAGAGCAGTATAAATGTGTGTTCGCGTGCTTATGCATTCCAAATTGACCATAATACATCGAAGAAATCAGTTCGCTGATAGTTTAATCTTCAAGGAAGGAAGCATATTAATAGCGCTGACAGGTGGTTTCATAATTGCTGCTGCTGTTGCACTGCTTCTGGAAAGCAATCTCGATGCCGCAAAAACTAATCGTAAAGCCAAATCGCATTTGAAGTTAGCCGTCAAATCTAAACTTGCACTGTTAGCAAAGAAGAGATTGATATAATACATCAGTTAATAGCAAATCATCCTCACTGAACATATGAATACATCGATTCATGATGAATGAGTAATTTCAGTTTCACTCATAATATATCTGTTTTCTTGATGCTTTGTTTAACGCAACGAATTATCGCTTCACCTTCCATTTATTCGAGGAATGAATTCATGAAAACACATCAAAGGGAGTTAGTTGTTCAAATTCGTTTACTTTTCGTAATTCTTCCCCATTCACCGCAAACCACCAAAAAACACCTCCTTAGATTGCAATCTCCCTTCAGTGATCACAAACGACAAAATACGACCAGCACATCATAAAAGCTTCCATGCTGTATCGAAGCTTATCGCGAAAATGTGGCACGACGGGCGTGGGTGCAGCCCGCGTACACATACCAATTAAATATTCATGAGCAACTGCGCATTCAGCTACGATTCTTCATTCGTAACATGAAACGGAATCAAGATTTATTCGTGCTGACACACTCGCACATAGAATTTACAATCCAGCATAAACCGCTAGTTTTGGATTATTTCATGCTTGATGACAATGAACGTCTCGATATCATCACCATGTCTTTCATCAATGATAATTGAAACTACTGAATCTCATTTTAAAAAATTTCAGTCTTCTTCATTGCTTTCTGTTCCGAGCACTGCATTTCCTTGTTATGCTTCGGAAATCTTCTCAATTGTTTTCCCGCTTCTTAACATTTCATTTGTACTATCACTTTTTAACATTTCATTTCTTGAGATTACTGTGAAAAATACATCCTCGAGTTCCGAGGATGTACTTCTATCCGACTATTCCATATGAGGAATACGATATGATTACATCGTATTCCGACTATCCATTACACGTGCCAACCATTCACCAGTTTTCATCCCAATCCCTCAATCCTCACCATACTTTTGACCAACCATCGCTTTACATAAGAGTCACTAATTGCAGGGCTAATCTCAAATCGTAAGATTAAAACTTTTTAGCGGAACGATTTATACGAATAGTGCCGAATGTATAAGAATAGTGCCCTACACCTACATCAATTTTCGTTATATCAGTGAATTTGATCGGATACGACGAACAACGTAATGCGAGCCAATCGTTGTGGGATGAGAGGTCATTTTTCATTCTGGTTAATTGAAAATTGTTTCCATCAATCATTTTATCACACAAGATTAATTGCTGCTTTTTTTCGTATATCATCAACAGTTACATCACATCAGCTGAACGCGCACAGCGATCATTAAGCATCAGAGCTTTAAGAAACTCATAAATTTGGTCCTCAAATTGTGAACATTCCACTTCTCATTTGCAGCTATCTGATATAGGCTTTATGATCGATGATTATTTCGAGTGTTCAATTCTTTAATCCATAACCGATCATCAACTATCAGCATCAATCAGAATTCTAAATTCTTTTAAAATTTTCCTACTCGCTGCTTTTTCAGCACAACTTCAACTCTTCCACATGAATCAATCTCTCCTTCAATTAGAAGACATTCCAGATTCAATTTCTCGCTTATAAAGCCATGTATCTCATCCTTGTGATTGCTTCATTCGGTGTTTTTTCAGTGTTAACAATTGTTGTAATCCCTCCGCATTACAATACGACATTGCATCGGATGGCACTGCACCATTCGTACAGTTGTATTTGCGACTCGTACTATTTGGTGTTATTTCGTCAAAAGAGAACAGCAAAAAAACGAACGTACTGAATTGCAAATACTTGATGCATGATAATAGCATGCATCATGATATAATACATTCTCATTCTAAACACGCTGATCTATTGAACTGACTAAATCGCGATTCATCGATGAAAACACATCCAATTCGTAAACAATTTGAAACTGAACCGTAAAATTGTAAAACCATGCGATGTTTTTCCTTTTCACTTATCCTTTTGTAATAAAAAGAAACAATGAATTGGACAAATTGCACTGTCACATTCCCTTCTATTTATTCGTGCATCGATGAAAGTGAAGAAAGCGAGCGTAACCAAAAGCAATGCTGCATGCTAGCTG